AGCAACGTTTTACTTTGGGAGCTCTGGTAGCGTAGTGCCTAAGGAATTTGACTGCTAACCAGAAGGCTGACAGTTCAAGCCCACCAGCCACTCTTCGGAAGGAAGGTTGGGCAATCTACTTCCGTAGTGATACTGCCTCGGAAACCCAAGGATTGGTCGCTATGAATTGGGTCCAACTTGACAGCACATAACAGCAACAGCAACAGCAACAGCAACAGCAACAGCAACAGCAAGATTTTACTTGCATGTGATGTTAATGATATTGTTCTATAATTGCCACATTCTGTGGGGATCACCTTTCTTTGGAATGGGTACAAATATGGATCTCTTCCAGTCAGTTGGCCAGGTACCTGTCTTCCAAATTTCTTGGCATGAGTACTTCAAGCATGGCATCTGTTGGTTGAAACATCTCAATGGGTATTCCTTCAATTTCCGGGGCCTTGTTCTTTGCCAGTTCCTTCAGTACAGCTTCGACTTCTTCCTTCAATACTTTTGGTTCTCGATCATAAGCCACCTCCTGAAATGGATGAACATCAACCAATTCTTTTTCATACAGTGACTCTGTGTATTCTTTCCATCTTCTTTGGATGTTTCCTGCATCACTCAACATTTTGCCTATACAAAACAAAACCAGATTCACTGCTGTTGAATTGGTTCCAACTCACAGCAACCCCTCCCCCACAACCCTTGGGTTTACAAGGCAGTATCCCTGTGACAGTAGATTGCCCAGTCTTCCAAGGAGCCCTGCTGGTGTAGTGCCTAAGACATGTGACTGTTAACCAGAAGGTTGGTGGTTAAAACCCACCAGCCCCTCCTCAGAAAGAAGACTGGGCAATCTACTTCTGTAAAGTTTACCCCCTTGGAAACCCAATGGGGTTCAATGAGTTGGAATAGACTGGATGGCAGTGACTCTGATTTGGTTATTCTGCCCATAGAATCTTTCAATATTGCAACACAAGCCCTGAATTTTTTTCTTCAGTTCTTTCAGCTTGAGAAATGCTGAGCATGTTCCTCCCTTTTGTTTTTCTAATTCCAGGTCTTTGCACATTTCATTATAATAATTGATTTTGTCTTCTTAAGCTGCTCTTTGGAATCTTCTGTTCAGCTCTTTCATCCTGTTGATTCTTCCATTTGATTTAGCTACTCTTCATGCAAGGGCAAGTTTCAGAGCCTCTTCTGACATCCATTTTGTTTTGTTCTTCCTTTCTTGTCTTTTTAATGACTTTTTGCTTTCTTCATGGGTGATATTCTTTTTT